GCTAAACATTCTAGATACAATAACAAAGAAAGTATTCAAATAAGAAATGAGAATAACACAAATCTGATCTCATCTACTGCTTGCAAAGTTAAGATCATAGGCGCGAACACTACTCGGTCCTTACTGAAAAAATTGAAATTTCAAATCGCATTTGAGCGAGGGTTACAGTTGAAACATCCCATTCCAAGATCATCAATTTTGTATTTTAGATTAGTTGTTAGCAATCGAAAAATATAGGCATGCTTTATAATAACACATTTAGTAAAAAGACATTGATTTGAATTTGCAAAGCAGCCATAAATATTGTTTTCAAGTCGAGTAAAGACAACATGTTGCCCCACAAGTGTTTTACTTCTCACTCCCCTTCACAAACCCCAATGCCACTATAGACTGCCTAAACTTTTTTGCATTTAGACGAGTACATCAACATCAGAAGCAAATCTAGAATTTGAACTTCACGGGCTCAGATTTAGAGTCTTACCACAATTTTGCAACAATCCAACCCCTCGTTTTGAGTTTTAGCACCCCGTTCCTTGATTTGAGACTTTGCATTGGTTCATATAATGTTTTGGACTTGTTGGATGTTTAGTTTGGGACTCAAGGGTACTGTATATATGAGGTGACGAGTACATATGCAAGTAGAGGGGTTGTACATACGGGATTCATATGTGTTATTCCACACTTTAATTGTTATTTTCATGTCATGACAAAGTTGTGCATTATCACATGCTAGTATAATGTTATAGGCATCTCTCATATGCTAGTTTGACATTAAAAATTGCATGCATAACAGGTTACATGGTTGGACTTACTTAGCTATGTACTTTACACATGTATATCTGTTGGTATATGTGGTTCACATATATTTGTGATATTTGGCACATGAGTAGTCGCTTATTGTTCGATTTTAACTTACTCCTCGATTTTTATTATTACCTATTATTTTTTTATGCTTCAGTTATCGTAGTAGTTGTTCTTTTCTTTAATATTTTCATCCTGTGGCTTCTACACTAATGTATACCCATTTTATAACTGCTTTAAAATACTTCTCTTACGTCGAGGGCCATCAAAAACCTCTCTACCTTCACAAGGTAGGAATAAGATCTGCTAACTCACCACCCTCCCAGACCCCACTTGTGGGATTACATTGAGTATGTTGTTGTTGGCAAATGAGTTGTCTGTGTTGATTGATACAAATGTGTTGAGTTGTCCATGTTCTAATAAGGGAGGCCAAGAGACTCTAGATATGGCATGTGGATATGGATGTCATAAGTCATTGTTCCCTGATCAACACGAGCAGTGTGCGCACAAGTTCGACTCGAAACCGACGAGTTTTTGGTTATATGTTATGGCATTTGAAAATGATTGTTATTAAGTAACGTTTGAGTCTTTTTAATGCATTTGATTTGTAGACTCTTGTTGATGCATTTCTTTTTTTTTTTATAAACGATGCATTTCATTTAAATGTTGAATATATGGACTGTGCATATCTATGTATGTCATGTTTTGAATATTTATCTCTTGTTATTGTGGTATTGCCATCTATATACTGCACAGGGCTTTAAAGTATTTTCGATACGAAACCTCGTCACTACTTTGTTGGTGACGGTCGATTATACTTATTGAATATGTGTTGGTGTACTCGTACTGCACTTTGCACTGTGTGAGCAAAGACTTATCCGAGTACCTGCGCACTCGTTTGTGATCTTTGGAGTTGGTATTGAGTTCCATTGGTGAGCCTCCTACTTTGATCCAACGGTGACTAGTCTTTGTAGCTTTCTTTATAATATTTTCTTTACAGATAGACTTGTAATATTCTGATTTAGTTGTACTTCCACTCCTAGTAGCTCATATATTTATTTTTTAAAATTGGTAACGTTGTATTCCTCAGCATTAAGGATATGTTGGAGACCTTCAAAAAGAAGCAAAAAGAGAGTAGGAGGAAGTGCGTTATTGTCTGTATAGTTTTCTAGAGCAAAGATCTAGCAACACATTTATTTTGTCAAAAGATTTTTGGCAATGAAAACCCCAATCTTCTAGCATGGGAACTGATCTTAGGCATATTTATATTCCTAGAAAGCTAATTATGACCGCATTTAAGCTTAGTTTGAATTCAATATGTGTTCGTTTATAGTTTTATTGAGTCTTTTGGTTGTCTACGAGCTAACCAACATGATTAGTTGTGTAGGTGAGCTTAATCGGAGAAACGAGCACGAAAATGGACAATGGGGAACACAAAAGATTCAAGGCAAAAAGAAGCAAGGAAGAAAAAAGAAGAAAAGGATTCCAAGGCAAGGTCGTATCTTCTCCGTGTCGCGGGAGGGAGTTTCAAATTAATTCGAGTGAAGCAAAAAATTAGGCAGAACACTCCATGGAGTGCCCGCGTCGCGGAGAAGGGTATTGCATCAAGACTCAAATCAAATATGTGCCTCTGCGTCACGGAGAAGGAGCCTCATTTTAATTCGCGAGAGTCGATTTGAGGTAGAGCAGTCCGTGTCACTCCCGCGTCGCGGAGAAGAGACCAAGATTGCAGAACAAAAATCTGGGACTCCCTCCGCAACGCGTCCCTAAGGCCTAGTTTTGGCCGTTTCGACTTTTAGTATAAACAGTTAAATATTTTATTTTATTAATCATTCTTTTTCTGGGTTTTGAAGAACGACGACTTGGGAGAACGTGTTCACCATTTTTAGGGTTCTTTCCTAAACTCTTTTCCTTTTGATCTCTTTATGTTTATTGAACATTGCTTGATCGTATCTTGGATTATGAGTAGCTACATACCCTAGTTCTAGGGTTGTGGCTACAGGATGATTGTAATCTATTAAGTTTTCATTGGGTTAATGTCAATTATCATATGAATCTTTCTTATGTTCTTGCTTTTCGTATTTCGTGACTGATCACCATTGAAATAAATACATTGTCCACATTGAACTCAGGAGAGGAATAAGAGGATACAATGTGGGACATAAGGAGCATGATTAATTCTAAATAACTAGGGTTAATTTGTATCTAGGATATGGATATACCTAGAAATCATGCTTGGGTCACTATACAGGAAGAAATCGTAATGCTCAGTATTTAATCCATCCTATCCCCGCTCAACGATGTAGTTAGGGTGTTATTTATCGTAGGCGATTAGAGGTCGGAAGACCATGATCATACATTTAACCTTGTGATTCATTGATTCGATAGTTGATAAATACCCATATAAATGATATTGATTGCATGAATCCTGATAGAAGCTGCAGCCCTAGACTTTACCCAATCATTGTTTTCAAACCCTCGAAATTGAATCGCGTTTGTTACATTTTGTTGAATTCTTAGAATTAGAAACTAAATCACTTTTGAAATCTTGATAACACTTGTGCTTAGCTGGAAGTTAGAGAAATTGAGTGATTCTAAGCATAAGTCCATGTGGGTACGATACCTGGCTCTTTATAAGAGCCACTTTAATACTTGAACGACCACGTGCACTTGCGTGTGCGATTTGGGCGCAACAGGAACGTCTTAAATGCATGAACAACGCAAGCATGACTTGTCATCGATACTCCTGGCCTTGTACACACCACTCGTCACACTATGGGAGTTGTCCATGGCTGAAGTCGCTACCTTGATTGCAAGAAGGGGGATGCCGAATAATCCAACATAGACCTCATAGTGGTTTTCGTGACTGATAGGTATAGTAATAAAGGCTTTCAAGGATGTTCCTAGCAACGTTAGGATTAACATAAGCATGTCACCAATCAGGACATTTAATCCTGACCTTGGTTCAATTTCAACATGGCTGCTAATCCAGTAACTGCGGGCTAGAGGGCGAAAACCATTCTTCCCAATCAGTAAAGCTCTAAGGCCCTATCTATAGTAAGGGGGCCTTTCTTACTCAGTAGAGCTGAACAAGATTAGACTGGTTTTGCTAAACTCATTCTCAAATGATTCATCGATGGAATCAGGCCTGGGTGTATGAAAATTTCTTGTGATTTCCCTTCTTTCTTTGACATAGGTATTGAAGTGCGCCTCTTCACAAGGGAGATTAAAGTGCAATGAAATTCCTTAAGAGTTGAATATGCTTTGTGAAGCATCGCGTTTAGCGGTAATCTCCACATCAAAAATAAAGGCCATTAAGGATGTACTTGTTTTTACTATTTCTGGTTTATGTTATTCCCATTAAACTTTATATTTCAGTTTGGTTTAATGATTATTTTTGTTGATTGGTTTGCCTGAAGGGGTTTAGGTGCTATCGTGATTTCGACATTTAGTTGAATTGGGTCGTGACAACTTGAATTTTACTAGGTCTGAAATTGATCATATGTACTTATGTAGTGAATTTTAACACATACACTGAGTCCAAACCAACGTTACTGGGTTCAGATGAACCCATGCCTTACCCTCTACATCTGCCTCTGACAGTAACACTTCCATAACCTCCCTCCCTGCACAATTCCAACCTATATCTCCATCTTATGTCCTCCAGGTTGACTCACTCCATGAAGTCTCTCTTCCCCATTCTGAATCTCTCCAACAGATATGGGCCTCTAATTTCCAGCATTTTGCATCTAGATGCTCAAGATTTTATCACAGTCGGAATCAGCCATAAGAAGAAGAATACAGTTCAGCATAGATAACATAAGATCACTACTTTTAAGTATGGCTATACAGTGATGGTAAAACTTAAATATGAAAGTTGAAATTGGAGTAACGAGGGCAAGTCTATGGCTTGAAACTTGGAAACAGTTGAGACTTGCTCGTGCATATTCTCAATTATATTGATTTTGCAGTCCCTCTTAACTTGGAGATTGACAACTCTTTTGTTTTTTGGCAGAAAAGGGAGAACTAAAAGGTTTGGGAAATCTAATTATCAGCTAGTAGTCAGTAACTCAGTTTTACCACGTACCAAACATAAATGCGATAAATGATACTGAACCGACCAAATACCCAACAGCAAATGCACACATACTGTGTTGTTTTGAATGGTAGAGGAATTAAGTAAGAAATAAAAGGCATACCCTTTTAGGACTTCAGAAGTTGCTCCTTCAAAACTAGAGATTAAGGTGGGCAGGCCAAAAGAAGTTAAATAATCTGCACTGGCCAGAAACTGCTGCTGGTCGTTTCTGTCAATTAGATCAATTTCACCCTAAAAACAAAACAGAGTGTACTTCTCCAATAAATAAAAGAACTGTAGGTTAAATATGTACCATCAATCAAATCAGCTTTATTATAGGAAAGGAAAAAGAAAAGCAATTGCAAGAAGCACTGAAACCCTGGGCATAAAATAATTAACACAGTAATCTTGATTTTCTTTCTTCCTTCGGTAACAACTAACTGAAATTCCATTCATTTTAAGCTTCTCACAAAACCCGCTTCCTCTGTTTCTGTTTGAATATGGACCACAAGGTTCAAATGTTCTCTGTTTGTTCGTGCATACACACACACACCTACATATTGTTTTGAAACGTAGGAAGTACAAGAACTAGTCAATTTAAGATGTTGAATATTTTCCAGTTAGACTTTCCTCATTTAATATCATGAAGCACCACATATATGTATATATGAATAAACTTTCTTTTTCTTTAACAAGTAGAAATTTTAATAGAATAAGGAACCCAGAAAAGATCGCAAATTCGGGTACAGAACCCATATACTCAGCGTTAGATCCAGTTCTACCAAGAAATGTCCCTTATCCAGCATCAACTACACATTAGTCTCCTTATTTCTAGATACGTTTCTTCTTGTGTGTAGGTTCTACATATGTTCCAGCTTCTTCGCTTTGTTGTTAAAATTAACTGCACATAAGAGTCTCCTTAGTTCTGTGTTTGTATTCAGGTACCTAAGGAATAGTCGAGGTGCGAGAAAGCTTGCCTAAACACCACTGTTATAAGCAAAGAGAAGTTCTATGCTTATATTTTCACTTCCCTCCTTCAGTTTGTCATTGTTTCCACATATTTCTTGCCCACTCTACCTCAACTAAGTTAATGCAAATCTTACAATTGTTCTCATTCTGTTGGTCTAAACTGAATTAATTAAACTGCAAGAACATGATAAAGCAAAGAGAAAAGAAAGATAAAGCTTAGCAAAAAGATAGAATTGAACAACCGGACAGGCATCTTTTGTGCATACAGCTCTACAAGAAAATTGACCCCCCTCCAATAGAAAAAAGAAAGAATCTATATTGTTTCGTTGGGGGTTTCCAGGAAAAGACCATCGCATATTCCTCCAGTTCCTTATAAAAGATATTCAATCCATTAGAATAGAAGTTAATGAGGGTATTTATGTCAAGCAGATGTGTAGCTTCAAGTCAAGGACTTGCATGATAACATTTTAATGTGAAAAGGAATATGAAAGTGAAAGACAAATTAAGATCCCTTATGTGACAACGGGGAAATTTTGGAGACAAAATTGAGTGCCAGGGTGTCCAAGAAGAACCTGAAGACGATGGCTAACATTTGAAATATGCATAAGTATCTTCTAGAGAGTGATGACAGATCGAAGCATCATGTCTGGTCAGTTCATTTAACTATAATACACAAAAAGACTACAAAAGGCAGTTTGGTTCATTCAATCCCCCAGAAAACTCTCAAACTTGTGGGCTGATGTCTGTTCATATCGTTTCTAGAGAGCCCATGGACCTAACCTTAGTCTAAACATTATTGGAATTGTCTCTGCTATCCTACATCCATGATTCCATGATTTGGAAGTGCGAAAGAGAGGAAGCAGAACCTCATAAACAGAACCTGGTTCGATAACTCTTTACTTAGTTACCTACTTCAAAAAAAAATAACTCTATACTTTGCAGCCAAGCATGGAAAGCCCACTTAGTTAGGGAATTCAAAGATACTTAGGTAAATAGCAAGGTGCTCTTATCAACTATCATCAGAATTTCATGGAGAATGACCTAAATATTGACCTTTCGGTAGGCTGTACCATTTATGGGCCTGAATATGCAACTGTACAAAGCTTCCACTACATCACAAACTTGCAAAACCTAAAGATACCAAAATTACACTCTGCCAAGAGGAGATTATTACCAAAATTTTAATTTAGTATGTATAGTTACATAGAAAGAGGACCTACACCTGAAATATGCATTGTAAAAGCTTGCTAGTTTTATGGATAAGGAAATAGTACATATTACCATCAATGAGTTCGAAGTAAAATAACTGATAAGAAAATATAACCCAGCTTTCATTCACATTGTACTTTTCTTTCAATTTATATTGTTAAATGTTAATAATTCTAAGCAACAGACAATCCACAAATGTAATCACTTGGTGAACAGATATTTTTTTAAAAAAAAAATTATAAGCTAAGTAAAGATGATAGAGACAGAGGGAAGTTTCTACAATAATGAACAAAAGAACTTGGCTCTAGGCACAAGATGGATACTGAGAAGAATAAACAGGGTAGTTAGGAGACAAAAACAAAAGTTGGAGGTTAGGAATTTGAAACTAAAGAAGGTTTATGTAAGAAAATTAACACTTGGAAGGGTGATAGAGAGTATAGAAAGTTATCAGTGAAATCCTTCAGTTCTAATGGTTTGGATATGTTGCAGTCTGGGGGGAAGGTACACTGCTATAGCTATCAGTAAGCGTGATCTGGATGATTTCAGGAGCTGAAGCCTAACATAGATGCCATTGCCAACTCTGATGCAGTACTTACAAGAACTGAGAAGTATAGACCTTCTCAAGTACTGAATTTCACTGTAATTGACCTGTGGACTGGTTCGTTGTTCCCAGCATCAACACTAATCAGTAGTTTGTAATCTAAAATTTCACAACCTTAGAGATTTTAATTAGCAACAAGGCTTCCCTAATAAACAATTTAGACACAGTGATCATCATAATTGCAAGCTACCAATTATAAAGTCATAAACAAGAAAAGGGGTAGCAGTTCTTACAAATTGGCCAGAACCTCCAATGCCACGTGCTGTGTCTATATAGAGATGTCTCCCTAATATATATACTTGAACTCTAATATATAAGCTCAGGAGTGTTGCAGCCCACAGAGACAACACCATTCTTGTAAAACCTGGAAGATCACAAACACACAACAAGATAAGACAACTACTTCAAGTCAAATTTCAATGCATGAACCCATTCTGCATACTTATAATTTTGAGTCTGTCCCATAGCTCGAGCTTCTGTGCAGCTGTTAGACTATTTGGCAGATCTTTTCCTTTCATCAATCTCTCTGTCAAGTGCGTAAGGTCCAATTCTTTTTCTATCTGACTACGTAAACATCGCACTACATGAGGCAATGTTGTTGAATCAGCTATTCTTTGAACGTTCTCAAAATGTGCCTTCACCCTACCGATCAAACAAAACCAGTTCATCCATTAATGACGTTAAGCATGACGAAACTCTTTAGAACAGATAATACACTCCAAAAAAATAAAAGCAAAAAAGAGAAATCTTAACTGGAATTTAATGAGTTCATCACTTCTCCTTTCCTGTTTGAGTTCTGTGTGATGATCAGAGAGTTTTCTCCTATGTGTGTCATACAACTTATACAAAAAATACCCACTTCCCAGAACACCAAGTGTAACATATGCCTTTCTCCTATATCTTATCCAAAATTCCCTATTCCAAGAAAAACAGAGTCAATACTGAATGATAAATCAATCAAATATGCCCGAAACACAAACTAGTTAAAGTTGACTGTATGCATTCCAATAAACCTAGAGTCAGAGACAAAATTCAATTTTTACATGTTACTTAACTAACATTATAGTGATACTGTAAATCACGGGCATAGTTAAAGTCGACTGTATGCATCATCAATATGCATTTCAATAAACCTAGAGGCAGAAACAAAATTTAATTTTACATGTAACTTAACTAACAGTATACTGATACTGTAAACTTCTCCCAGCTTGAAAACCAGTAGAGAAACAAATACATAACAGAAAAATGGAATTCGACTAACCACATTCAAGCAATTTGGTGTCGGTATCCACTGTTTGTTTCACCGGCCTTTGTTGCGAACAGAGGGTTTTGGCTATTTGATAGCTGCTTTGAAGTTTGAACTTCCAATTTCGAAATAGGCATGTGTGTTTGTTTGGTTGGAACATTTAACAAAATAGCGGCTTCAATTATTAGTTACTTGTGAAAATAAGAAAAGAAATGAAAGTAATTTGTAGAGTTGAGAAAAATGAACCCAAGTAGGGTAACTTGGGTAAAAATGGACCCAAACCAACTTGATTTTTATTTGGTTTGTGTATGGTTTGGTTTCACATTTTTAAAAATCTATGATATTTGATTTTGTTCAAAATATATATATATATATATATATATATATATATATATATATATATATATATATATATATATATATAATTATATACACATAATGTTATTTTATTAACAGTTTTAAGGCGGGAATCAAGGTTGGAACAAGGAAAGAAAGGGTGATTGGAGAAACAAAGAGATATGGAAATGTCACGATCCAGTTTCTCAGGTCATGATGGCACTTACTATAACTCATCAGTAGGTAAGCCAACTTGTAACCTGGAACAACAAGTAACGGGTACAAGGGTAGAAATGAAGCAAGAATAAACAATTAAAAGAAATAACAGGAGAATAAAGCGGAAGCAACATATATACACAAAACAAAAGTTCACTCCTAGAACCTGGAAGTCACAACTACAGAAATACCACAAAAATGAGTACAAGTCCCAAAAGTCGACCATAAATAAACAGACTTGTCTCAAAATACAAAAGACTAGTCAAATAGGATTAAAGGAGATAGGTATGATCCAAGATGTCGTAAGTTCACCCTCACCTCCAGCTATTGCAACAACTGGCTTGAACTCAACATTAATAGTTGGTGCTCGGGCTTACATCACGAAATAGATGCAAAGTGCAATATGAGTAAAAAAAAATTGGTACTATAACACTCCGGAAAACTAATGAACTAAGCTAGAGCCTAGTATGTAGTCTAGTAGCCTAATTAGGGCTAACATAAAGATAAGAGTCGTAAAATAACCTCCCCTACTTAGTACTAATGTTTTAGGACCTAAACATCACGGCATGACCCCCCCCCCAAGGACCCCCCAAGGTTCCTTGAGGAGGACCATAGGGCAGGCCAAAAAGCTATCAAAAATAGCATGAACCACAAAAGGGCACCCACGAGCCGTGAGTGGACTCACACCCCGTAGGTGGGGGTCTTGAGTCAAGGCTAGACCTCCCCCAAATCTCCAAAGTTCCAGTACCATTCCACACTCATGCAGTACGGTTCGTGGACCCACTCATGCACCGTGGGTGGGGTCTCGTGAGTGAGGTCTGGACCATAGCCAAAATGACAAGTCTCAGACCCAACCCACAAGTGACCAGTACGGTCCGTGGGTCCATCCACGTCCTGTGAGTGGGGGTCGTAGATGGGGTCTGTGAGACTGTCTTAAATTCGGCCAAGGGTGAATTAAATTAGGTAAGTTATATTTTAATTATTAAAGGGTGGGGACGGTTTATATTAGTTATTTAGGCATATATAAGTAGTTATTAACTATTAACCAACTCTTTTAACACCTCATAACTCACAAGACTCAAAACATAACCTACTTTTCTTTCCAAAAATTCTCTCTCTAAGACTCCATTGAAGAACAAGAACAAGGTCAAGCTTAGGATTCAAGCAACAACTTCTTCTCTCCAATTTTGTGAAGGATCTCCAATCAAGGTATGGGAGTCTTGATTCAAGGAGAGCTTTAATCCATGAAGCCCTTTAACTCTTAATTTTGAATTGGTAGAGTCTTCAAAACTAGGGTTTTCAATCTAGCCATGGGTTATTCGTAAAAACGATTTCAATGGGTCAATTGTCTTATATTATGGTTGATTTGTTGTTTAATGGTGATTTTTATAGTAAAATTCCCCATAAACCCATGAACTTCCACATGACCCCAATTTCATGAATTGTGATGGGTGTATTGATGTAAGGTGAATACTATGAATTGTTTCTATGGTATTGTAGTGATTGAATCTTGTTTTATTTATGCCTAATGTAGTATTTATAAGTGTGATTGTGATACATGATTCATGACCCTTGAGGGGTGAAATTATGAAGGTTTATGCATGTTGATGAAAGTTGTGTATGAACTTATGATTCGCTTTGAAAGTGAAGATCCTATGAGTATTGGGTAAATTGTGGTATTGTTGAAAGATCATTCTCCCCTTACCCTTACACATGCCTATGTATGAATTGTATAGGATGATGATAATGTTGTTGTATTGATTGAAAGGTTATTCTCATGAAACACTATGAACATGATGTGAAAGGTTTACTCACATGTTAATGTTGATTCTAAGGTTGAAAGTCCATTCTTACCTAAATGAATCTATGAGCTATTTTATGAGTTGTATTGAATGAAGGGCAATATATTCCTTCACACATGTAAATGCAATTCAAAGACTAATGATGTATAATTTGGGAAATAATGCTTAGCACCGAGTGAATATGGAAAATGAGGTAGAGGCCCTCCTGTCAATACAATAGGCCGGGTCATCTAAATTATTCTTATGAGATGGAAGCTCATCTGCCAATACAATAGGTCGGGTTTCGAGAAGCAATCTTCATATTCCCTAACTATGTGCTCACATAGGTTTTTAGCTAGTGGATCCACCTAAAAACTATACATTTAGTTCTACCTTAGGCAAATAGGACACCTTCTTTCGGTGTGGGATTACACGATACCGAATTCAATGTAGATCACATTGTCTATGTCGGTTGAGGATATTTTCCCTACATGACAAGATAATGAATATGACATGAATTATACTTATGACTTCTTGATGAGCTTTACTTAGTATGAGTGGGGGTATGGGTTCACTTTTACATTGCACAAGTAGACTTTGAAAGGGATTATGAGATGGTTCTTTATGCTATAGTAATACATGAATGTATGCATGTATGTTGATTGGATTGTTACTATGAATGACTTTCCTTATGTTCAAGTAATATACATGACTATTTATTTATCTATGACTATTGATTATGATGAGGTCTAAAGATGATATGTATGACTAATGTGGCTTCAAGGGAGTACTTAGTATGGTTGGTATTATGGGATACCAACGATACATTGCACAAGTATACCTTAGGGTTGCTAAGGTAATGGTTCTATTATGTTACAATGTTCTTACATGATAAATGTGATTATGACTTGTGTTCTACATTGAAAGTGCATGTCGACTCTCAAACTTGGCAAATGCATACTTTTCAACTAAAATGTCATTTTTATCATATTTCAAGGATTTTTATGCATGCTTCCATACTTAGTACATATTTGTGCTAACCCCTATTTCTTCTACATTTACTATGAGTGTAGGTTCCAATCGTTGAGACGTACATCTTCTTTCAAGTGAAGCTTGGGTTGACTATTCCCTAAGCTTGGTGAGTCCTTAAGATTCGAGGACAAGACATTATCTATTTTAGCTTCTATTGTACTTTCTATTTTGAGACTTTATTGATGTAAAGGGCTTTGACCCTAATTGTATTCTCTATTGTACAAAATGGTGATTGAGACAAGGTCTAGACTCTTATTTTTGTTTATGAAAAAAAAGTTGACTTCGATTGTAAAAGTTTTAAATTTTCCGCATCATTTCTATGACTTTATGTTTATGATTATGCTAATGGCTTGTATAAGACCCGGGGTCAAGTATGTCGTGTTACGTCTAGAGGGTACCCCTGGGTCATGACAACTCAGTAGGCATCATAGGCTGACTAAGAAATAAAAGTAAAGACGGTATGAAAAACGAGAATTAAACGTAACAGAGGTCAAAAGAGCAGAGAAGTCTAATTGAAATGCACACGAGTGTAGAAAAGAACTAAAACAAAGCAAGAAAATAGCTAAGTAAAAACCCAACTGACCCCATAAGCCCAGAAGGTACACTCAAGTGCAAGTTTAAATAAAAATCTGAACGGACCCTCATATGCCCGACAGGTGTATAGAAGAACTAGAACTACCAAGAACGGAACCATATGAATCTATATTCGGAGGGTGTGTAGCCTAGACCTCGAATTGGGGATAGGCCTCCCAAATGTAACCAATAAAGTCTAGTCGATAGATATCAACTCCGTAGAAATAATTAGTCTAAATCATGGACTACAACTGAAGATCAAATGTCCAGACTTTGATCTGCGACCAATAATAATTGTCGTGAAAGATTTCATGCCAAATCATCATCATAGTTTCACTGTCTAAGGCCTATTGGCTCCAAAACAAGCATGTCTAAGGGAAGCACTAGGTTACACCTAGATTAAGGTCAAACATGCTTCCAATAAAAACCATAACAATTACAACACATGTCACAAGGTAAGATGATCGTGAACAACAAGAACAACATGTTAAAAGTAAGCCTAAAACATGATATCTAACTAACTAAGCATGACTAGCTACCCAACCCAAATGCATACAAATCAATATGCATTTACATTCTCGAGCTCAATCTAAATGACGAAAAGCCATAACCTACCTCAAAGCAGACCATATGCTCCAAATTGACAATTTCAGAGTCTTTTCCTTTCGAACGACTTCTAAACGCTGCCACACTATCAAAAATAGACTCACAACATTAAAATGGTTGTTTAGATACCAATATCATAATTATCAAAGATAGATCCAAAATTGAATAAAAAATGAGAATATGGGACCTACGTTGGGAATCCTGAAATTAACTTTGGCAAAAGTCCTTTTAAGCTCCTCAAACTTGTAACCCAAAATGAGACACAATTCTGGCTCAAAACAGCCCCAAACAACAACATGCATGAATTCACTAACTTAACCACAAAAAAGGGCTAGACAACCCCTTTAGGTTGGAATTTACCTCCGAACATCACCCTCACGTAAGACTCTGAAACCTCCAACACAAAGCCTCAAACTCCCCGAATGCACAAGACTTGAAATCACCTAAATCGGACTCCCAGAACTCAAGAAAATGAATAATGGAGTTCAAATCTTTTGATGGTTCGGGACTGGTCTTTTAAATAAAAGACTAGTCAAATGGGAATCAGAACGCGGTGAGGGGGTTTGTGATCGCAGAAGTCCACTCAACTTAGACTTCATGAACGTGGAGAACAACTTGCGATCGCAAAAGGCAACTGCCCAAGCCTCC